TATCTCCTCCTCTTTTGTTTGGCTTTGTGGGCATTTTTCATATTCTTTTACCTGCTGAGTATTTCTCTGCCTTTTCATCTTATTTAGATTGCTGTGTTTGGGGTGGTCTTTCTGTATTCTGGTGGTCTGTGGTTCCTTTTTATTGTGGAGGTTTCTCCCAGTGGTTGGGGTTGGACGATTGGCTTGTCAAGGTTTCCTGGTTAGGGAAGCTTGCGTCGGTGTTCTGGTGTGTGGGACTGGATTTCTTCTCTCTGGAGTGCAATGGAGTGTCCAGTAGTGAATTTTGAGATGAGTTTATGGGTTTGCTGTGACTTTGGGCAGCCTGTATATTGACGCTCAGGGCTATGTTCCTGCATTGCTGGAGAATTTGCGTGGTATGTCTTGCTCTGGAACTTATTGGCTCTTAGGTGGTGGTTGGTTTCAGTGTAGGTATGGAGGCTTTTGGATGATATCTTATTAATTAATGTTCCCTGTAGTTAGGAGTTATCTGGTGTTCTCAGGTTTTGGGCTTAAGCCTCCTGCCTCTGGATTTCAGTCTTATTCTTCCATTAGCCTCAAAACTTCTCCATCCATACAACACTGATAATAAAACTTCCTGGTTAATGGTGAAAAGATTCTCCACAGTGAGGGACACCCAGAGAGGTTCACAGTTACATGAAGAAGAGGAGAGGGAGGAGGGAGATAGAGGTGAGCAGGAGGAGAAAAGGGGGACTCAAGAGGAGAGAGACAGATCTACGCAGTACTGTGCTCCCTAAGTGTTCTCCGTAGCCCAGAACACCCACAGATACTCACAGAATTGGATTGAGAAGAGAAGGGGGGGAGGAAATAGAGGTGATCTGGGGGAGAAAAAGGAGAGTCAAAAGGGGGAGAGAATAATCAAACCAGTAATCACACTCCTGAGTAAAAATGGGTACTGAAGATTGGAGTCTTAAATGTCCAAAATTGATATCAAATACTGGAAAACAAAGGTTAAAAATCTAGAGTAGATGGTAGGTCCTTAAAAATACAATATTAAAAACAAAAACAGAAACACAAAAAATTTAAGAAATATGTATGAAGTTTGCTTTAAAAATAGGGTCCTTTTTTTTTCTGCAAGGTTATAGTGGGTTATCAAAATGAAAATTAAAGAGTAATAGAGGAGTAACGAGGACTTTAAAAAAAAAGAAAAGAAAATTTTTTTAATTAAAAAACAATAATAATGGTAAAAATACATCTAGGAATTTCTCTGGAGCTGTTGCAGGCAGTGTGGGTTTGGTTCAGTTTCAGATAGCTCCTTGTTCGAGCTTACACTTCTCGATATCTACAGGCCCCTTCCGTTGTAGTCGGTGTTACCTACAGGGATTTTAATCTGTTGCAGCGGTCACTTCTGAAGCAGTTCCCTTTGTTTATTTGACTTTTGTTTGCAGGTCTCTCGGTGTCTAATTTCCACCCTGACACAAGCGGGCAGAGGTGGTCTCTTGTTTAGGTTCGCTTGTTCAGTCGTGCTGCGGGGAGGGAGGTGCCCTGCAGACAAATGTCACTGGCCTGTGTGGGGACACGCCACAGTGTTCTGGCCACACTGGGTTTGCCCCGCTCATGGGTGTGTGCTTCCCCTGTCTACACTGCTCAGGCTCCAGGCTGCTCTCCAGGGAGCGGGCCCTGAGTTGCGTGCACTTCCAAGCCTAAGCCGCTCAGGTTCAGGTTTTCGGGTACTCCACAAAGGTGCAGCCTCGGTTGGGCCTAAGTTTTGTGCCTTCTCCGCCCGAGCAGCTCAGGAAGCCAGGAGCTTGACGAGCGCACTCTCTTCAGGTGCAGCACGACTGCGACCCTCCCCGTCCCAGCCTCAGTTTCTGGGTGCACTGGTCCGGTGCGTCTTGTGTCTCTTCTGGGGAGCTGATCTCTGGCTGCGACCCTCCCAGCCGATGTCAGCCATCCAGAATCTCAGGAAGTCTTTGATTAGAAACTGGAAGCCTGTTTGCAGTTTGGTAGGGGATGCCATCTCTGGGGCTGCGTTTGTCCTGGGCGCCCGCCTCCTGCCTACGGCAGAGGATAGGCCCGGCTGTGCCTTAGGTTAGGGGCTTTTCGCGGGTTAATTCTCTCTCTCTCTCTCTCTCTCTCCCTCCCTCCCTCCCCTAAGCAATGCCACCTGCTCCTCTCCATTCAGCCCCCACTTGCTGGTGGCGGATGCGAGCATCTGGGGTACTTTCTGCTGGGAGTTGCTTTGGGGCATGTAATCCGTGGGTTTTATTTATTTTACCTCCCAGTTAGGATGCCCTCCGAGATTCAAAAACTTCCCCCAGACCCGCCAGTGAGAGGGTTTCCTGTTGTTTGGAAACTTCCTCTATTAAATAGTCTCCCTTCCTGGACCCGTCCCTAGCTCTTTTGTCTCTCTTTTTATCTTTTACATTTTGTCCTACCTCCTTTTGAAAACAATGGGCTGCTTTTCTGGGCGCCTGATGTCGCCTGCTAGAGATCAGAGGTGGTTTTGTGTAGTTTGCTCTGCGTTCAAATGTTCTTTCGATGAATTTGTGGGGGAGAAAGTGGTCTCCCCATCCTATTCCTGACTGCTTGTTTTTAAAGCAGTTTCATAGAGCCATAAGAAAAAACTGAGTAATTTCAATTTTTTCAACATAGTTCAAAGGACCTTTTTAGGTTCCTTTGATGGTGTCATATTTACCCTGATTTTTTTGTGATCCTTGACTCCCTCATTGATTATCTGTGCATTTGAGTCAGGTTTTCTCTGGCAGAGATGGTTCTTCACTGGTCAGCTCAGCTTGGGTTTCTGGGTGTGCCTGCTGGTCATGTCCTTGGTTGTGTGGGGCTTGCTTTCAGGGTGTATTTTTGGGCAGGGCCAGTGCCTGAGCTCTGAAGTTGGGGCAAGAGGGATGCCATTGACTAAACACAGTTGGGCGGGATTTTGGGTTTGATTTCAATACCTAAGTGAAGCTATTTCCTAGCCTGTATCCACAGTACCAGGGGTGGCTTATGATCACTGTATGGCTAAATATTTACTTAAACCTACACTTTATAATAGGAGTCAAAATTGTAATAATGATAGTTACTGTCTATTAAGGGTTTCCTATATACTAGGCACTGTGTTAAGTGTTCTGTGTGGTTCTCACAGTAACCCAAAAGAGTAGGTACGATTATTCCCACTTTATATACAAAGAAACTGACGGTGAGAAAAATGAAATAACTGACCTGAGGTGCTGGTTCAGTCCCTCAGTCACGGCGGACTCTTGGTGCCGCACAGACAGCAGCACGCCAGGCCTCCCTGTCCTTCACTGTCTCCCGCAGCTTACTCAAGCTCACATCCACCGAGTCAGTGATGCCCTCCACCCGTCTCATCCTCTGTGGCCCCCTTCTCCTCTTGCCCTCAGTCTTTCCCAGCATCAGGGTCTTTTCCAATGAGTTGGTTCTCTCATTAGGTGGCTAAAGTAACCTGAGGTTACCAGGCCATAGCCGAAGTACCAGCATAGGACTCAGGGCCTCTAGCTCCAGGTTCAAGGTTACTTTACTATTTACCAGTCCCCTATCATTGGACATTCAGGTTGTTGCCAGGTTTTTCTATAGTATTCAAGTAGCAGGAAGCATTTTTTTTAACCTCACACCTTTCTTTTTTTTGAGGTGTTTGGATTATTTATCATATCCATTTGCTAAGAACTTTAGACAATATATACATTTTGGATGTTGTTTGGTCCCAGCGATATTGAGATTTGTGTGTGTGGTGTGTGTTTTTTAAAGCCGGAAACACTTTTGATCATGCATCTTTCCTTATGTATCCAGTTGCCTCCAATGGACATATTCACTAAAATAAAAGAATTTTTTTAAGGACTTTAATTATACTCTTAAAGGTGCTTCTTAAGAGGTACAAATGAAGGAACGTTATCTTTACTCTTTGTCTAGAACCAAATCTCTGAATTTATGTAATTTATGAATGAATGTTTAATCTTTGAAAAGTGACTCCATTGATTGATTCACGGGTGATTGCTAAGCACCTGCTCTCTGCTGTGCACAGCTGTAGGAGCTAAGAAAACTTAAGGACAAAGACAAAATCCCAGTTCTTGTGGGGCTTATGCTTTGTTTGGTAGTGAGACCATAAACAAATATAAGTTTTGATAAAGAAGATCAACTGAGTTAACATTTGTCCTTAGCATAACACCTAGCCCACAACACTGTCATAACTCATTACTGTTTATCCTTTAAGACTCAGTTCAGACACAGCTGCCTCCGGCTGAGAATCCTGCGGCCACCTCTCCTTCAGGTTACGAGCCCCTCACTCACCACCTTACTATGCACGCAACTCTCCACTGCAGCATATCATGTTAGAATTGTCATTTACTCAACTGCTCCTTCCTCTAGACTAGAACGCTCCTGGTGTACCCAGAATGGGTCACCTGTGGTCACAAGATGATGGTGACTGGAAAGGTGATCTGAAAACAAACTCAGTCATTTTTCAATCGTTAAAATGTTTGTAGAGGATGAAGTGATATTTGACTAATACATGTATGACAGTGCTTCTGACAACTTTCTTAGTTCAATAATCATTGCTGGTTTTGTTTTGGGGGTAGTTTTTTGTTTGTAGGGGTTTGTTTTTTACAATTTTGTTTTCAGACATGATTTTTTTGCCCACCACTCATCACCACGGCATGGTATGTACAGCATCTCCCCAATCTTTCTGTAAGTCATCCCCATTAAAGTCTGTTTATTTATTTGGTCACTGATGATATCCAGGATGTCCTGCATTTAAACTGTTTAGATTTGCCACTGATTTAATTTGCTTATATTTTCACATTTTTTAAACTAACTTCAGAAGAGTATATTGGTTCTTTTTTTTTTTCCTTTAGAATTATTTTATTAAATCATAAATGTACAACAGCTTCTTAACTCTACACACACACTTAAATTTTTTTAAAGGAAAAACGTTATAAGAATATACAGTGAATGTTCTTCTAATGATTGCCAGTGAAAAATGAATTATTTCCTTATAATTTCCCATTTATTTCATATCTCAACTTCAGATTACAAAACTCTTGGAAGAATTAAGAGAAGCCAAAGAAAATCATACACCGGAGATGAAACATTTCATGGTCTTAGAAAAGAAAATCAGACAGATGGAAGTGAGACATGAGCAGAGAGAACAGGAGCTGCAGCAGGTAAGTTAGTGAATTATATTACACGTTTGTGCAGTTGGTAAATTAATGAATTATATTACACGTTTGTGCAGTTGGTAAGTTAGTGAATTATATTACACGTTTGTGCAGGTCTTCACGTTTAAGTCCTCCAGTTTACTGTGTTTTTGTCATCCCTAACAGATTACTTCTTTCAGAGTGTTTTCATTATATATTGATTTTATTCTAGATAAGTGTATAGTTTATAAGAGAAAATGAAGACTAATTCTCAAATACTTGAAGATTGGTTTACCTTATATCTAGAAAAATAGAGAAACAACTTTTGTATTATGTTCTTAATTATTGATGGATGCCTAAAAGATAGGCATTTTACCCTGGGAATAGGACTCTTGGAAAACATGTTACATATTTAAGTCATTTCAATAAATGTTAGTAAGGTACAGGCTTATATTGAAATGTGATCATTTAAAATATCATTTGCCTAGCGCTGTTAACATTATGATTACTACAAATAACTACAAACAGATAAATTAATAGGAATTGAAGACAGCAGAAGCGTTTGATGTGTGTTTAAGCACTAGCCTTGGTCCTGATGCTTAGCTTTGCTTGAACAGTGTATTTTAGTCTGCTTTGGCTACTACAGCAAACTATCATAAACCAAGTAGCTCCAAAAACAGAAAATAGTTTTCTCACGTATCTGGAGGCTAAAAGTTTACAATCAAGCTTCCAGCTGATTCGGTTTCTGTGGGAGCTCCTTCTGGCTTGTAGATGACGTTTCCTCTGGGTGTGCTCTGTGGGGTGGGGAAGGGCGAATAGATGCCTCTTTTTATGAGGACACTAATCCAGTCTGACTAGGGCTCCACCCTTGTAACTTCATTTAACTTGAGTTAGTTTCTTACTCCAAATACAGCAAAACTGTGTATTGGAGCTTTAACATATGAACGAGACGGTGGGACACATACAAACAGTATGTAAATTTATATACTCTTTGAAAACAACAATTATCATATAACATGCAAAGCTTTATGGATAGCCCAAGTTCCACAGAGAAACCCTAGCTCTACTTAATCATACCAAGATTCTAGCTCTTTATCATACAGAAACTAATAAATGTGAAATGGAACACAAAGAGATTAATGTACTTGATTTCTTAGGCTTTTTTTGTGCACTTCTCTTAAAAACATTGTAGTCTAAGAAACCACCAGTCATAGTAGAAATAAGGCATCATCATGTGTCACCATATTACCAGAACCTACCCATATTATATAATTCCTGTTGTAAAAAATGGTTGTAAGTTGTTGATAAATATGTTTAACATTAGCTTTCTTACTTGTTATAAGCACATACTATATTATAGCCTTAGGACATATTTTGTAGTCTTATTATAAACAAATGTGATATATAAACATATATAAAAGTTCTCTGTATATTATTTCAATATGGCTTATAAAATTTATTTCACTTGCTTAAGCAAAAATATAGTAGGGTTTTTAGGACATCCTTGATTTATAGAAAGGTGATAGATATCAGTTTGATGTATAGCATGGTAAAAAATCAGGACATCATCAAAATGGTGAAATAGTTCATTCCTGACTTCAGGATCCCTTAGAAGAAGACCACCTAGCAAGTATCTATAAATAAGACGCAGTTTGAAAGTCTGGGAACACAGGTGAAGTGAAGCACACTTTTACACCAGAGAGACCAAGAAGGACCACATTAGAAGTGTAAGATGAACAACCAAACTGATAACATTTTTCCTCCCCTAGAACAGAATTCAAGGTGAACATCCAGCTCTCCCACCATTGTGGGTTGCTTCCTAGGAGACCCATTCGAGTTTTCCTTCATGGGTATTTCAGGGGTAATCTGTAGGGCTTGACCATTGGGGATGAAACAGAAAAAGGGGACAGGATTTACAGTAACCAGCACTTGACTCGTGGTAGACCAAGTTCCTGCTCAGAGTAGTGCCCAAGTAGACACCAGCCAGTGGCTGTTCACATTTGCTGACCCTGTATGGCCAGGGATATCCGGGTACAGCTCTTGCCTGATGCAGTACCCCAGACAATGAGCCTTGCCAGCCTTGGAACCTTTTCAACCACCTGCCTGTGTAGGGAAGCTAATTCATATCCCCATCTAATGCTGAATACAGCTTCCAGCTCCCCGAGCAAGGAAACCTAACCAGGTGCCTAGAAGCTGTGTAGCCCATCCTACAGTCTCACTTATAATGGCACTTGAGCCTGGAGAGCCTAGACAGCAACACTGTCTATCTGCAAAGCTAAGCCACTGGCTTAGTAGTCTTATCTAATGTGGAAGCTCAGTCACAATTCTGCCTGATTTAGGTCCCCAAAAAGTCGATCCCATCTTGGACTTTTTCTGCCACCCCAGTAATTCATGGCACCATCTACTGCTAAGTGTAGTACTCAATAGAGTCTGAAAAAAAAGCATGACCAGAAAATCTCGGCAACTGCAGAACTCATCCTCTAGACATACTTGGCTTCCAGTCCTATCCAGTCCCAGCCAGCAGCAGCCTCTTGACCTGAGAGCTCAGGCAGTATCCTTACCCAAAAAAGAGACCCTGATAGCAAGTTCCACCTGCCCAAGGACACTACCAGCTGACCTGTCCAAAACCCCAAGCTGAGCTATAGACAACAGACTGTCTCTGCCAATGCCAACATATAAAGTCTAGAAAAGGAGTCCATTTACTCAAATGCACAGATAGCAACACAAAAATCAAAGATCATGAAAATCAGTTAAATATAATACTATCAAAGGAAACTAATAAAGCTCCAATACTGCTTACAACAAAATGGAGATGTGTGAACTGTCCTAACAGAATTCATAAAAGTCCTTTTTAAGTTAACTACAAAAAGACACAGAAAGACAACTGTATAGAAATCAGAAAACAGACATGAACAAAATAAATTCAGCAAAGAAATATAAACCATTAAAAGAAAAAAGAAGAATCATAGAACTGAAGAATTCAGTAGACAACTGCAGCAGCAGACTTGACCATACAGAAGAATCAGTAAGCTAGAAAACAGGTCATTTGAAATTATCCAGTCAGAGAAGCCAAAAGAATGAAAAAGTGAAGAAATCCTGTGGAATTTATGGGACACCGTCAGAAAAAAACATTATCCCCACTATGGACATCCCAGAAGGATAAGTCAAGGAAAAGGACAGAAAGTTTATTAAAGGCAATAATGGCTAAAACTCCTCGGGAGAGATATGGACATAGATTCCTGCTTTGCAGGTGGATTCTTTACCTGCTGAGATACCAGGGAAGATAGGTTTAACCCATGAAGGGCTACACTAAAACACATTATAATTAAATTTTCAAAGGTCAGAGACAGGTTCTAGTTCAAGTGGGCAATGTAGAAAGACCCTGAACTCACCTCCTCCGCTGGGCACACTGATCTACAGCATACAGAATGATTTTTTCAAGACAGGACCCCCAAAATAACTGAGCACCTCCTACACATTGGATAAATGAGAAAAAAGAAAACCACATCAAAGTAGGTAGGAAAGGATAAGACACAATCTCACCATAAACCTCTCCCCTAGCACAGTGATTCACATTCAATAGGGAACTGAAAACCCAAGCTTCTCCCTGAAGGAAAAAGGGTTTGAACCCCATTGGACACTCCCAACTTTTAATTCCTGAACCTGAGAGATGAGCCCTGGCAAAAGTCCAACTTTGAAAGCTAACGAGGCTTGTGTCCATGAGACGCACAAGGCTATAGCAAACTTGAGAAATAGTTTTAATGGGCTTGCACGCAAAGACCGCCCACCCACCCCGCCCAGTGCAGGGACAGATGCCTGAAAAGGCCTAAATAGACATTTCTCCAAAGAAGACATGCAGATAGCCAGTAAACACATGAAACATTGCTCATTATCAGAGAAATGCAAATCAAAACTGCAGTGAGATATCACCTCACGCCAGTCAGAATGGCCATCATCAAAAAATCTACAAACAATAAATGCTGGAGAGGATGTGAAGAAAAGTGAGCCCTCCTGCACAGCTGGTAGGAATGCTAATTGGTACAGCCACTATGGAGAACAGTATGGAGATGCTGTGAAAAGCTAGGAATAAAACTACTGTATGATCAGCAATCCCACTCCTGGGTATATATCTGGGGAAAAACCATGGTTTGAAAGAACACATTCACCCCAGTGTTCATTGCAGCACTATTTACAATAGCAAGGACGTGGAAGCAACCTAGATGGCCTTTGATGAATGGATAAAGAAGTTGTAGTACATATATACAATTGAATATTACTCGGCCATAAAAAGAACAAGTGTGAGTCAGTTGATCTGAAATGGTGAATGTCGAGCCTCTTAAGCAGAGTGAAAGTTGCTCAGTTGTGTCTGATTCTTTGTGACCCCGTGGACTATACGGTCCATGGAATTCTCCAGGCCAGAATACTTGACTGGGTAGCCTTTCCCTTTTCCAGGGGATCTTCCCAACCCAGGGATCGAACCCAGGTCTCCTGCATTCCAGGTGGATTCTTTACCAGCTGAGCCACAAGGGAAGCCCAAGAATACTGGAATGGGTATCCTAGCCCTTCTCCAGCAGATCTTCCCAACCCAGGAATCAAACCGCAGTCTCCTGCATTGCAGGCAGATTTTTTACCAACTGAACTATCAGGGAAGACATACAGAGTGAACTAAGTCAAAAAGAGAAAAGCAAATATTGTGTATTAGTGCCTTTATGTGAAACTTAGGAAATGGTACTGATGAACCTCCCTGCAGGGAAGGAATGGAGACATAGACACAAAGAACAAACTTGTGGACACAGCAGGGGATGGAGATGGTGGAACGAATGAAGAAAGTAGCACTGATGTGTATACTCACTGCCATGTGTAAAATAGCTAGCTAGTGGGAAGCTGCAGTATAACACAGGAAACTCAGCCTGGTGCTCTGCAACAGCCTAGGTGGGACTGGTGGGGAATGGGAGGGAGGCCCACAAGGGAGGGGTTTTTATATGTATGTATATACATGTATATATGTATGTATACATGTGTGTATA